TTGCTATATGTAACCTTCTTATTTTACATCCGATTTTTAAAATCTTTATGTCGCTGAAAAGGTCTCGCCCAGGACTATGAATGACAATTAAACTCTTTTGGCATTCAAAATCTTTTTTCATTTATACCTTCACTACTTTTGGAATTACTATCTTTAGATTATTATTTTTATACTATACATCTAAAGCTCTCAAAAGACGATGAAGACCTTGATAATAAGGCTAAGACTTTATTCACTTATAGTCCTACGCGAGGCCTTTTCGGTAACATAAAAATTTAAAAAATCGGGTAGCAAATAAGAAATTTATAGAAAAAATGCGATTTAGCTGTTTTTAGCGGGTGCATAAAAAAAATGTACACCCAAAATTTTCTCTCAACTAAGTGTTTAAAGAAAACTGGCACCACGGTTGCCTCTTGTTAGAAAATAACCAACCAAAATCTGAAAAAAACAATCAAATTGAAAAAAAAAACTAATTTGAAAAAATGTTAATTTCTAATTTAAAAAAACCAACCAAATCAGAGAAAAACCTCCCAAATGTCAAACGCCCTAGTGTATTTCTGACATAAAAAACAGCTTCTCATAAAAATCCAATCTTCGTTCGGAGTCGGCGCCCGCCACAATTCGGAGGAGAAGCTAGGGCAAACACTAACATATTTTGTAAACGCCAATCTATAAAATTATTATGTATATTATTATAAGTGTACAGATTTATTTGTATTTTCATTCTTTATCGCTTTTTCAACGTTCATGTAAAAATCTCCAATGCACAGTGGTTCATAACTGGCATATACTGTTCACAATGCACTGCAGTCCTTATTTTTCACACAAATCTAATAAATTTTTTTTTTTTTTTTTTAATGAAAGTTTATAAAATTTTCAATATACCAGTTGAGTTGAGTTGAGATTTTTCTTAAAAGTAAAAAGAAAAATTTTTGGTGAACATTTTTTTATAACATTCAAATTTTTATTTTGATTTTTTTTTTTGTTTTGGGGAACCCTTAAAATGTTTTCAACTAGTTTTTATTATGTAACATTTATCAACTGCAACAGTAGAAGCGGTTGTCTTCAAAATAGTTGCTTTTTCTGCATTTTGTACTAAATTATATAATATACACAAATAAAAACTCAACTGGTTTCTTACTAATGTTATATGCTTTCATTAAAAAAAAAATGTATAAAATTTAGTGAAAAAATAAGGCTAAAGTAAATTATGAACATTGAATTCCAGTTTTGAACCACTGTGCAATGCGGCTCGGAGGGTTTACCCCCAAAATGTTACTCTAAATATACATTTAAATGATTTTAAACGTATATAAATCTGAAATTTTAGAAAACCCGTGTTGGGTATTTCATAATAAAGAATTTCTAACACCATCTGCTTTTACTCAGTATTTTGCTTGAAAAAGTACTCCACCTCTGATAGATGCGCTTTTCTACTAGTCTAATATGGCGACAACTTCGAGCAGACCCATAAATTCGTATACACAATATTTTCTGACATATTTAAAAAAATCCTTTTTTACTGACATTTAAGCGTTCCCATAAAGTTATGCCTAGATAAGTACGAGTATATCTGTTTATATACGTATATATGTATGCCTCTTCAGAAGTTAATGGTATACAAATGTACTATAAATTTATATAAAAATACATTTTGCGTTTAAGTGGAAAACCTCGTGAATGGTTTCGTTTGTGGTTAAACTAAACAACCAAAAGTGCAATTTTATAATCCAGCACACACACTTGCACATACAGTGGCACTTGCGAAACAAAGCAATGCACTTAAGTGCATAGTATTCTTCTATGTTATTATAAGTTGCATTTTATTTTAGCAAGCATTTGCTTTGTGTGTGTGCGAGTTTTTCTTTTGCACAATTGAGTTTCGTGCATACATACATACATACAAATTTAGAGAACTTCGTTATTTTCCTTTTTGTTTGTTTAAGAAATGCACAATTGAATTGGAAAAGAATTTTCTATTAAAAGCAATTGACATTGTGGCGTCTTTTCAAGCGTTGTTGAAGTATCATTTTATTGGTCAAATGGAAAATGTTTTAAAATTAGATAAAAATTATATATGTATTATGCACTTACAATGTAATAGAACGAAATAGAAATGCGTTTATCAAAATGCAAATGCAAATAAATGCCATTCAACTAATGAAATTATGTTCGAAAGTTTAAGAATATAAATTTTGTGAAAATGTTACGCATAAATTCAATTAAGGAAATTAAGAGCACGTGGATGGAAATTGAACATAAAATGAAGAAGAAAAATGGCAAACCATGTTAAATAAAATATATTAAAAGACTATTTCCAGGAAGCAGGGCAAAAAAAATTAATTTAAAATTTTTAAGTAACTAAAGAAAATATTTTGTTTTATGCACTTTCTGTTTAACACTTTTTCTAAGCTACTCACGAAAATAACATTTATAAAACTAACGTTATAATTTTTAACCGATTTCGAAAAAAGTAAGCGGTTTTCAATTCGGAGTATTTTTTTATGTAGGTACATATGTTGCCGAATAATTTTGGACCTCGTGAACCGTTCCCATACTAATTTGGTTTATTTCCGATCATTGGAGTCGATTGCTTTTGTATTTGACTGCTTGTTCTTTTTTAATATATATATTTACTTTTTCCATTTTGTTAAATAATCAAAACCTCTCCATTACTATTTTCACAATTTTATTAAAGAAAAAATATTTTTGATCACAGCTCGATTTTGTAGCAATTTTTAAATATTTTTCCAAAATGTATTTAACAAAGTGTGATTGAATTTGACATTGCCCTCATCCTATAATGTCAAATTGAAAAAAAGTTAATTTTGAATCGTTTGTTTACATTTTTAACTTTATAGTACCTTAAAAGACAGACGTACTGAGTTGTCAATCACGCCTTGTTTAATATACCTTATAACTATCGAAGGTTTAATTGCTACAAGTTTTACTTTTTATTTATTCGAAAATTAAAATTTTTTTCAAATTCCTCTCAATTTACTTCTTTTAGTTATTAATTAAATTCAATTTCCTTTGTGTTATAGCGATAAGAAATAATGGTTTGCTAAAAGCTTAATTTCGTAAAAATTTTTAGTTTATAACTATTTGAAATCATTTACAAATATACAATTTTAGCGCAAAGATTTTTTATATGAATTACTGAAAACATTTTTTAAGTTTTTTTTTTTGTTCAACAATTGTTATTGAGCTCGAGGCCGTTTTTTAATGAAAATTTATTGTGGAAAAGCAACAATAATTTGAAAAAATAGTAGAAGTGATAGCTATTTCGGATTTTTTTTTTGTTATAATTTTTTCACTTAAAACGAGTTCATAATTTTCCACTTTTCGAAAACATTAAAACGAGTTTATTCTAAAACATACAATTTGTGTGCTAAAATTTTTTTATAGGAATTAATTAAAATTTTCTTTGTGCCATATTTTTTTTCACTTAACACAAGTTCATAATTTTCTACTTTTCGAAAATATTAAACCGTGATTATTCTTACAAATTTTCCTAAAAATTGTAATTTTGTTTTATTTTTTTGCTATTTGCTACAGATATTTTAGATTCTAAATATTTAAAATCATTTCAAACCCACAATTTTAACACAAATATGTATTTTGTAGTATTTTTCCCCTAACGTGTTTTAATTTTAATATTTCAAAAAATGCTGCATACAGAAATTCTCAAATAAGATGCCTTTTTGCATTAATGAACAACTGTTTAAAGTATTTTTTTTTTGTTTTTGTTATTTGGTAAAGAGATCTCAAACTTTTTGGCTAGCAGTTTTTTTTTCACTTAACAAGTTCATAAATTTTTTACTTTTCGAGATCAGCTGTCAAACACATAACAAAATTTTCACCACTATATTTTATACATCCAGAATACTAGCTTTCCAAACTTTTGATTTCGACAATTTTTTATATGAATTTGTAAAAAATTTATGGAAAAAGGGTACAACTAAATAATATTATATTCAAAAATGTTTCCATCAGTTATAAGAATATTAAACAATATCTTATTTTAAAATTTGAAGTTGGAATCTAGGCCAAAAATTTTAGATATTAGCATTTAAAACAGAATTATTTGCAATATTATTAATGAAAAATTTCACTATATTATTAAAAAGTGCACTATTTAATAACACTATTTAATACCGAACAATTTCACATAAAAAATAATATTGAAATAATTTATTTATATTTTTGTAATCTTTTTCTGGTTTTCACTTTGAGAAAAAAAAATTCAGAAAATATTTAATCACAAAAGTTAAAAAAAAAATTCTGAAGTAGTCTTTAAGTTTTTTAATGTGCCTATATATTTTTTCCAAGCTTTAACAAAAATGTTTTTTGACGACTTTAAAACTCTTGAATCTCTAAATAACCCTGATCTGTCAACTTAAACATAAAATTAAAAAAAAAATATATATAAATTTTTTTTTATTTAATTATCAGTTCTAAGCAAAGAAACAATTTTTTTTTAGTTTAATATTTTTAAAATTTTCGAAAAAATATATTTGTTTCCATTTTTAAATCAAGTATTTTCAAAAAAAAAAAACATATTGCACAACCAATCGCAATTTATTTTCTTTTAAGTTTTCTTCGCATTTTTTTCAAAATTAAAAAATTTAAATTTTTTAAGACTAAAATATCTGATTTTTGCTAAATTAAAAAATGTTTGTCCAAGGTTAAAAAATTTTATGTTTATAAGAAAATTCCAAATTTTATAAAAAGCTGGAAGCCTTATTTTCAAAAAAGCAAAATTGATTTAAAGCATTTTAAAACTACATATATGTATGTATGTATATCTGCAACATTTTTCTGGGTGTAAAAATTTGCAAAAAACGCTCTAAAAGTACTACCGAATTTTTTATAAGATGATCAATTACGCCAGCTAGTTACGAAACAATAAAATCTTAAAAATCTTAAGAAAAGTTTGTGTTCCGCCGCAAAATCTCTACATCGCAATTAATAAATTTTATTTTTTTGATCACTTACAGATCTTTGATGACATAATTTTCGTTTTCTTCGCAATCGAAATGCTCATCAAAACGATGGCGATGGGCTTGTATGGAAAAAACACATACATGGCCGATTCGTGGAATCGACTTGACTTCTTTATAGTTGTTGCTGGCTTATTGGAATATGCTACGAATGTGGATAATTTAAATTTGACTGCGATACGAACGATAAGAGTGTTGCGACCATTGCGAGCGATCAATCGCATACCAAGTAAGTATAAAAAATACCACTTAAAATTTGATAGCAGGGAGACAAAGAGACAAAGTGGGCGATAAAAAAGCGAAACACCCAAAATGGCACAAGAGGCATAGTTTTAACCAAAATAATTAAAACATTTTAAGCTAAAATGCGCTTAAAACGCTCGCCACAAAAGTTTGAGCTTGCTTGATCGGAGCTACCAGTGCGTATACGCAACTTTTTTACATCACCTCGAAAACTTATCAGTAATCGCTTAATTGGTACTTTTCTACGGACTAACACTTCCCTCCCCCCACTCTCTACAGGTATGCGCATTTTGGTCATGTTGCTGCTGGACACGCTGCCTATGCTCGGCAATGTGCTGCTGCTCTGCTTCTTTGTCTTCTTCATATTCGGCATTATTGGCGTACAACTGTGGCAGGGCATACTGCGTCAGCGCTGTTGGATTGGGGCCGATTTGCCTGTGGATGATTTTCCGTAAGTAAACATTTAATAAGACATAATTTATGAATTTTTTCGATTTACGATTTCTACTAAAAAGTAAAAAATTTACGCAATAATGACTTTTCTCTTTCCGCATTGCTACTACTATTCTGCAACGTTCGTTTTTTTGTTTTGCTGAAATTTCCTTTCACTTTCTATACTAAAAAAAAAAATTGCTAAAAAATTTTAAAATTTTTTCGTTGTCGTATATATACTTTGTTTTTCATTTTAATTTGTAAAAAGCTTCCGAGTGTAATCCTTATAGCCGCTTTTTTATTTTGTAGAATTCAGCATAGATTTTCTATGA